ATTCTAATTCGAGCTCGGTACCCTGCAAAAGTTAGGTCATCATAGTAAATTAGCTAGAAATGGCCTAAGAAGTGTCTGATGTGTTTTCTAGGGCATTTGGGCATGGTGGCCTAACTTTCGCAAGTTTAGGTTTCTAGGCCACCAAACTCTTTTTGGCCTAGAAACGATTTGATGTTCACCTGGTGTATTTTTAGGCCATTTGGACATGGTGGCCTAACTTTTGCAAGTCGAGTTTTCTAGGCCATCAAAGTCTAAAGTTAAGGATTTTGGGATTTCCAGTATTTTTAGGTATTTCTAAAAGGATTTAGGTCGAAATTCAAGGATTTTAGCAGTAAAAAACGGGGTTTCAGTCTAAAAATTTCAGAATTTTTCGTATTTTTTTACAAATTTCTAGTGGGGTTCCGAGTTTTTCAACAACAAAAAATTCTAGGATTTTAGAACTTAATTCACAAATTTTGACATCGAAAAATGGGTTTTCAGTGGAAAAATCATCAATTTTCAGTGGAAAAAACGGATTTTTCGATTTTTTCAGTTCAAAAAATCGATAAAAATCACATTTCTCATGACCAGTCCCTTCTTGTTTACTCACTTTGAGATCTGATCACAGAACACTAATGCCTGTACGTATCGAATCGATTTCAGCAGTCGTGTCAGTGTTTCCAGCATTGGGTGAGCGTTCGGAACGACGTACTGCTTGATGCCGACGAGTTGGACGTCATCTGGAAATTGATTGAAGATATTGACTTTTAGGCTGAAAATGAGTCAAGAATAGGTCTAAAACGCTATTTTAACGGCTGGAACATGCGAAAAATGACAATTTTGAGCTCAAATATGATGAAAATGAGCTAAAAATGGATTTTACAGAATCATAATTTCCTGAAATTATTTTTAGGTGAAAATGGATTAAAAATGATGCTTTTGAGAGTCAAAAATACGTCTAAAACGCTAATTCGAGAGCTGAAAAGCTTGGATGAAATTGAGCTGATTTGATGAATTTCAAGGTGAAAACTATGATTTTAAAGTCAAAAATTGAGCCTTTGTAGATGAAAAATGAGCTGAAAATGCAAATTTTTACAGTCAAAATTTGATCTAGAACGGTGAAAATGAGCCAAATTTTGCTGAAAATAGGAGTCATAAGAAGGGAATAGAAAGGCGTAATCGGGATTTGAAGGGATTTTACGAGCTCAAAGCACAGTTTTTCGTCTAAAAATAAATTTTCAGAGCAAAATTTGAAGGTTTTCACACAATTTCAGCTGTATTTTCAGCTAGTTCTCTTCATTCTTTACACTTTTTTTTGCTATTGTCCCCCATGTCGTCTCAATAAAAGCACATGTTTTCTAGCTTGTTCTTCCGGGATTCTCAGACTTTTTCAGCCATTTTCTCTTCTTTCCACACCTTGATTGAACCGAACCAGTGCCGCGTCTCGAAGGAATGTTGACAGCAACAGGTCCAAATTTCTGGGATACGTGGCAGAGAAGACGGCCACCTGGCGAATTGGAGGCAGAGAGTTGATGATGGTGCTGGAAATGAGCAATTCACAGAATTTTGGAGCAAAATTTGGGGTTTTTTAGCTGAAAAATGAGCTCAAAATGAATATTTTCAGGTTAAAAATAGGGTCAAAATGGTGTTTTTAAGTCAAAAAATTTGGGAATCTTTAGGTGAAAATCGTCACTTCTAATCTGGAATTTCGAAGTTTGAGCCCCGAAATTGCCGATTTCCACCTTAAAATCCAAATTTCAAGTCTAAAAATCCGATTTTCAAGCCTAAAATGCCTATTTTTGAACCCAAAATGCCGATATTCAAGCCTGAAATGGCTATTTTCCTGAAAATCCATTTTTCCCCACTCACTTGATATCCGGCTTAAAAACCTCGTCCATCAGCTTATCGGCCTCGTCCAACACAAAGAAATCCACGTGGCTAATGTCCATGGCGCCCATTCGGATCAATTGAGCCACTCGTCCCGGAGTACCAATGACGATTTGAGGTCCTGAAAATGTGAAAATTGGCATTTTAGCATACGTAATGCTGAAAACGAATTTGAGGACGAAAAATGGGTTTTTCAGGTCAAAAAAGCCATTTTCAGCAATTTCAGAGTCAAAAATCAACTTTTTAAGGTTTCAAATACCAACTTTCGAGGTCAAAATAGCCATTTCTTGATAACTTACGCGTCTTTTTCAGGTCGATTACATTGAGCTTGTGACCGATTCCACCAGTGTAGACTCTGAAAAAAAAATTTTTTTTTGGATTTTTAAGTATTTTTCATAGTTTTTGGCTTCAAAATTGGGATTTTTGAGCATATTTAATGATTTTAGCTCAAAAATTCGAGATTTTCATGTATTGGTAATAGTTTTTGGCTCAAAAAATGTGGATTCTTGAGCATTATTTGCGAATTTTTGGCTCCAAATTTAGGGGTTTTCGCAAATTTTCGCAATTTTAAGCTCAAAAAATTGAAAAATTCCGGTTCAAAACGAGCCCAAACTCGTGAAATTCGAACAGAAATAGATTTTTGAGCGAAATTTTGAGGTTTCTAACCAAAAAACAAAATTTTTGAGCATTATTTATGGTTCTTGGCTCAAAAATTCACAAATTTCGAGATTTTTCACACTTTTTCGTCCAAAAGCCCTTTACTCACGATGTTCTAGCGCCTGCTGGCGTCAATTTCCTCACAGTCTCCTTGATTTGTGTCGAAATTTCTCTCGTTGGCGTGATGATCACCTTCTGGATATAATGCGCCTTTAAATCCAAATTCTCCACAGCCAGCACCGAGAAAACGAGCGTTTTTCCGGTTCCCGACTTGGCCTGAACCAACATATCACGGCCTAAAAGCCCAACGGGAATGGCTTTGGCCTGGACTGGCGACGGGCGGTCGAATTGACCGGATTTCAGTTTTTCGAGCGTTTTCTGACCGATCATTAGCGATTCGAACGTGCAGTTAGACTGCACGTCTAGAGTGCTACCACGGTCCAATACCTCAATTACCTCGGAGAACTCCATGATGGGCTCTGGAAATGGGGGAAAATTGGAATTTTAGGTGAAAAATGATCAAAAGTATTGAAAAAGAGGTGAACTTTGAGCCAAAAACAGTAAAAATCGAGCTAAAAGTGGTGAAAATAGCTTTGAATTTGAAAAAATCCCGAATTTTGAACTTATTGAAAAAATTCTAGCAGGGTAAATAGATGGAAAATCTTAATTTTCGTCAGTTTTCGAGCTTTTTTGACACGAAAATCGTCTTTATCGACCTAAGATTATGCCAAAAACTTATCATTAAAATTGAAAAACTCAAATTTCGGAAAAAGTGGAAAAACTGTATTTTTCGAGACTTTCTAGGGTTTCTGCATGAAAAAACTCAAATTTTCGACTGAAATTTGCGTTTTAACCCCCAAAAACCCAACTTTAATCTCCACAAATCTCAAAAAATCGTCCTAAAAATTTCGAATTTCCCAACCGAAATTTTCTCCCTCAATCCCTATTAAATTCTTTCGAAATTGATATTTCTAGACAATAAAAACCTTTAAAATTCATTTTTTCAAAAAAAACTTCAAAAAATTGTTTTTTCAGCTCAATTTTAGGCAAAAACCGGCTAATTGCGAAAAAATAAATTCAATTTTGCAATTGCGGCGCGGTTTGGTGGGCGGAGCCGAATCGCGAGTTGCAACGCCCCGCACGCTTTTTTCTTGTTTTTTCGGCTTATCGAATTTTTTTCCAGCGCTATTTTCATCGATTTTCAGTCAATTTTTTCGAAATTTTCTGAGATTTTATAGTTTCAGATGGATAAAGCAGTCAAAAATTTTCCGAAAATACAAGAAAAACGAAAAAGCATGGAGAAACTCGACAATGCGGTGAAAGTAGTAGTTGAGACATTTCGAAAGATTAATATGGATGTTCCGCCAAAATTCAAAGAATCTTTCGGGGAAATAGAGAAGCTCAACAAGCAAACCGACAAAAAATTGAGCGCGAATCAAAAGTTGAAAGTGGAATTTATCGCGAATTATGAGAAATTGTCGCCAGAGCTGAAATGCAAGGGATATGAAGCTGTTAAGGTGGGTAATACTGATTTTTAACCCAAAAATCTGAATTTTCGAGCTACAAATAGTCTAAAAACCTGAAAATTTTTATTTTTAAGTTAAAAATTTTTTCGAAAAACAATTTTTTTTTCATTTTTTTCAATTTTTTGGGACAATTTCTGAGCAGTTTCAGCCTAAAAATATCGCTTTTTCCACCCAAAAACCCTTTTATTCAGACCTCCGAACTGGAAATCGTGGATCTATTCACCAAACGAATGGTGCTCTACGAAGAACTGCATAAAAAGCTGGCCACTGCGTTTGCCGACGTTCTAGAATGCTACGAGAAGAATAAAAATACACTGGGTCCCATTGCTGAAAGCGTCAGAAATTCTGAAATTACTCCATCTTCTGCCACGTCATCAGGAAATCCAGAAAAAGGGAAACGTGGCAGGAAGAAGAAGATGGTGAAGGAGATTAAACAGGAGCCGTTGGATAATGGCGAGGAGCTTGGAGATGTAAAAGAGGAAAATGGGGAAAATGAGGAAGAAGAAGAGGAGCAGGAAAAACACTATTGTTGGTGTCAATTGGTACGGTTTGAGGCTGCAAATTCGGGAATTTTCGGCCATTTTTGACCTAAAAACTGCCTTTTCGTCGATTTTCCGCTTAAAAATCTGAAAATTCGGAGTTTTTAGCCCATTTTTGACCCAAAAATGCAGATTTTTCAACCAAAATTTGGCGTAATTCACACCAACTTTCGGCCGAAAAATCATGAAATTTCACCCATAAACGTGATTCCCAAGATAACTTTCGACAAATTGTCAACATTTTACATGATTTTTGTGCCGTTCTCAGCAAAAAATCGTCGAAAATTCCTCTCTTTGCACAGCGCATTTTTCAAATCTGTGCATTTTCACGTAACGGTGTACCGCACCGCACTGCGTATAGTACACCACACCGTACGCGCAAAAGGGCAAAAATGCGGCGCGCTGAAATTTAAAGATGAAGATTTTCAGTGAAAAAGCTCAAATTTTTCGCTAATCTAATTTTTAAAATTCTGAAATTCTAGAAATAACTTGAATTTCCAGATGATGGTTTTTTCTTCAATTATTGTGAAATTTTTGTTCTTAGCCCCCGAAATGATGATTTTTAGCCGATTTTCAGCCAAAAAACCCCAATTTTTTCCAGGAAAAAGAAGATCAAATGGTTGAATGCGAGAACAAGCGTTGCCCGTTGGAATGGTTTCACTTCAGTTGTATTCAAATGGTCACAGCGCCCGTCGGCGATTGGTACTGTTCAATTGAGTGTCGGAACGAGGATCAGGACGAAAAACGGAAGAGTGGAACAAAAATTACGCCTGCAGAGGTTGGAACGATGGGTGGGCTCGGTGCCAGCTCGATGACAACGACACCGTCGACAGCGAAACGAGGACCGAAGAAGAGGAAATAAAGAGAAAAAATGACCTGAATTGCTTTAAAATGACCCAGAAATCATAGAAAATGCCCCTAAAATAGCCTAGAATTGACCCATTTTTCTGTACAATTTTCCCACAAAATCCGATTTTCCGCCTTCAATCTTCCCAGTTTTTTTTCCACTTTTGCATCTCAATTTCCCCACGTTTTTCTGTATTTATTTCGACTTTTCTTGATATTTATTTTTTTTTCTGTACCAATATAAATTTATTCTGACAGAAAACCTATTTTCACCACACAAAAATAGGCTTTTTCTCCTTTTTTTTGCGATTTTTAACCTTTTTTCGTTTTACCGCCTGCAAAACAAAGATATTTCCAGAAATATGTCTTCTGAAGATGACGTCACCACAGCTATAAATTCAGAAGAATCAGTGAAAAAACCAATGCCGAATTGCATCACCTGTCCTTATAGAGCGGAGCACAAAGTATGGAAAAAAAATCGATTTTTAGGCATTTCGGAAAATCAAAATTTTTGATTTTCGAGCTCAAAAAATCTGATTTTAGGCCGAAAAACCCGCTAAAAATCGATTTTTCAGGTCCCAGTCGACGGATTCAACGCGCACGTCTGGAAGTGTCGTGCTGATTATATGGCGTTCTTTCCGAACGCGTTGAGTTTGAAAAGGTAGCTGAAATTCGCATTTTCAGCCAAAAAATAAGGGATTTTGAGCCGAAAAACCCCAATTTAGATCAAATATGAGCGGTTTGTAATTGTTTAGAAATAGGGAATACAATGGAAATTTAACTGGGAAAATGTAAATGAGTAAAATGATTGTTCCTGGAATAAATTTAATTTTTAAAAAACGAATGAAAGACGATAACAATGTAATGCGGATGAAAATGAATAAAAATATATAAGAGAAATCCGAAGAATTCCAAGCCCCTCATATTTTATTCATTCATAATTTTCCATTTTAATTACTTGTCATGTTTTTCCATATGTATCTCCTATCTGTTTTCTTTTGTAACTTTTTTTTTCTTCCAACATATTCATTCGTTTTTTATACTCACATCCCATGCGGCATTCATTCGTTTTTTATCAAATTTATTCCAGAAATCATCATTTTCCGTAAAACTTCATTCACCTCGTTTCCTGAAATATCTGTAAATTTCACATGATTTTTTTTCAATAAATTTGCCGATTTTCAATTAATATCGAAAATTTTGATTTGAATACTCGAAGAATTCCAGTTTTCATTCAGTCTTTCAGCACTTCACTTCAGATTTTTTGATAAACCCCGCCCATTTGCAACCTGCGCGCAGAGTATCCGCAAAGTGGCGCACGGTTCCCCTTTTTTTTCCGATTCGTTTCTTTCCGTTTCGTTTCTTTCGGATTTCAATTCTTCACGGTCTCCGCCGCCCTTCTTCTCTTTTGCGCGTACGGTGTGGTGTATGGTACGCAAGTGGGGTACTCTACACCGCTATGTGAAAATGCACAGATTTGAAGGATGAACGGCGCAAAAGAAGACGAATTTTCGACGATTTTTTGCTGAAAAAAAGGCACAAAAATCATGAATTAATTGGGCGATTTTCATAAATTAAATGAAAAAAAAAATAAATAAATAAATAAAATTTTCATAAATTTAATGCAAAAATCCTAATTTTCTAGACCAAAAATTTATTAAAAATCCCAAAAAATCACAAAGGAACCCTAAATTTTTAATTCCAGATGCCGCTACAACATCCGTCATATGATCCCCGATGTCGAGCTGAAATTCCACGAGACTTTCTGTAAATCGCAATCCGCCGAAGCGCGCGCTCAACTCGACACCGAACCCGTCTTCCTCGACGTCGCCGGATTCATCGACGCGCAGAAAATGCGAAAAATGCTAGAAAAAGGCGACGACTACGATTCGGATGAATCAAATGCCGGCGATTTGACGGATTCAGATGAGAGCACGTCTTCTGAAAACGATGAATCGGTGTCTTCGGAAATCGAAGAAGACGTTAAGGTGGAGCCGGATGATATGGAAGTAGCGATGAATCGGCTGAAGTATTTGGAGTTGAAGAAGAAGGAATTGATTTGATTTTTTTTTGGAATTTTTAAATTTATTTTGACAAATGTTTTGCTGGTCCAGAATGAAGATCTTCCTATGATTTTCAGTGTCAAATGAGAGTTTCTCACTGATTGTTCAGTTTTTCTATAAAAAATTGAGTTTTTTTGGCTAAAAATTGGCTGGAATTCATGTCTGAATTCCAGCGCGCCGCCCTTTGCGCGTATGGTATGGTGCATTCTGTGGATTTTGACGTAACGGTGTTCAGCACCGCAACTGCGTACCGTACACCACACCAGACGTGCAAAAAAGCAAAAGGGTTTTAGAGATGAATTTCAGCCGAAAAACAACAAAATCTCAAATTTTGAGCTTGTAACAAAATTCAGGATTTGTACCACATTTTTGACCATGAAAATGAAGTTTTTCATCACTGAATCGACATTTTTTCTCAATTTTGACTTTTACGACAAATTTTGAGTATTTTCATGATTTTTGTGTTTTTTTTCAATAAAAAAAATCGTCAAGAATTTCTCCTATTACCCCGCGCATTCTTCAAATTTGTGCATTCTCGCGTAGCAGTGTACAGCACTGCACTTGCGTACCGTACACCACACCGTACGCGCAAAAGAAGAGAAGGGCGGCGCGCTGAAGTAAAGAGGTGGTTTCAGCCGAATTTCAGCGGAAAGACACTAATTTTTCGACGAATTTTGGAAATTAGATCAAAAACTAAAGTTTCAGGGAAAAAAGTCTGGATTTTCAGGTGTTTTTTGAAGAAATGTGTTATTTTTCCTTAATTTTTGTAATGAGGATGCTTAAGCCTGAATTTAGGTCTAAAAATTGAAAATGGGGCTTAAAATTTCCGATTTTTTCAACTAAATACTCAAATTCTGGTTATTTCAGAGAAAAAAAATTATCAAAAAGCAATTTTTCATTTTCACTCAAATCAAATCAAATCGAAAGTTCCATATAGTTCTAGCGCACAACCATGACTTGTCCTCCTTGATTGTTGTTGTTCTTCCTCATCATGTAGAAGAATCCTCCAGCTCCAATTGCCGACAGACAGATGAGCACTCCGACGAAGATGCAGACGATGACGACAGTATTGGCGGCGTCCTTTTCTTCTTGGGTCCATGTATTATATGGTTTACTGGTGTCCGCCAAGACGATTCCAAGAAGAAGCGAAGCGATGAGCAGTTGTTTGAAAAACATGTTCTGTCGATTAGAAACTATTTTTCTCTCGTTTTGCGTTGAAAACTGATTAGGATTTAGAATTTTTTATGAAAGGAGACCCTTATCTTGACTTCTGACACATTTTTTTTCTAGAAACACGGGAAATTTGACTTTGAAAATTTGGTTTTCTATGTCGCGAGATTGAAATTGCAATATTAGATTCAAAATCACCGAAATTGGCTCTGAAAAGCTACAAAAAAAAAACGAAATAAAAAACCACTTTATTCAGTTCCAAAAAACTCTCCAAATCACAAAAATCATAGAAATCAAAAATGAGTTCACATCCTTCTCGATTTCTCCACTTGCATTAAACTTATCCCTCTCAAAATAAACCTCCAATTCTCTCTCATCCAATTCATTCACATATTCCACTTCCACTTTGAAATCATTCGGCTCATCAAAATCCGTTTCCACGTAATCAGTGAGATTTGAATTTGGGTTTGGAGGGATTCTTGGAGAGGCTGTGGCTTTTGGTTGTGTGGAACTTTCCAGAATATTGGGATTCTGTGTAGGAGGAGGCGGATTTGAAGGGGGTATTGTAGTAGTCGTTGGTGGAATGATTGGAGGACAGACGCCCGGGAATTCACAGACCGCGTCCTGGATGAAAGCCATATTGTAAAAGTAGACTCCTTCTGAGTTATCTATGTAGAGAATCCGACGCCTTCACCCCAAGAACTACTGCTTTTCCACTAGAATTGTACACCAATGGACCACCACGATCACCTTTAGCACTAAACTTGTCTGTGTAGACCGATCGGGAATTGTAAATCGTGTAGATTACTCCGTCCCATTCATAATCCTAGACCTGAAATCAGAAACCTGAATTCAGATATCAGATGTGCATCACTTGCATAGGTTCGCCAATCTAGCAATCGGCTATTGGAGAAACCGTACGAATGAGCGTTCAATCTAGCGGTACAATCCAAAACTCACTATCTGCCAAGCATGGGATGTGAGTAGGATCCAGATGGAGAGGCTTGGAAAGTTCTAGCAACATTGCGCGGAACACAATAAGAGCATCTCGCCAGATACAGGCCAAGAAAATTGGCAACACCGAATGGTTCTCCTTTCCAGACCACTTCCACTCCATCAAGGAAATGTTTCGGAACATTGAAGTGGCTGAAAATTAGATCATCCTTTTACGTCCATTCATGTGTCCCAATCTCAACTCACCCATTCGGATCACACTTGTTCGTATCAAAGTAGTCTTCGTTCAACGCACAGTAGCCTCCTTTGGCTAACTCAACTTGTGAAGAAGGGAACACATGTCGCTATGATATCGGATATCCTACAGATTCGACAATCTTCATTTTCAGCGGGATCGAGCTATTTTGTAGGACCCGCACCAGCCACGTTCACAGGTTTACTGTTTTTGTATTCTTTAGAAGGTGTGGCTGAAAATACGTTTGCCTGCACATATGACTACTGTACCCCGGGTAGACTGCTTTGTATTAAACTGGACGTTCTTTTCTAACATAATTTTGAAACAGTTAAAATCACACTCGCACAAGTTAGAGCTTCAAAATGAGCCTAAACACGACTAGGCTTCTCCGACTTGATTTTTCAGGTGCGTCGCGTGTCACATGGAAAGCTCGAAGTCGACTTCCCTAGTCGTGTCATTTTGAAGCGCATTTAATGACAAGTACATCTAGTACATCTATACAGATTCCATTAGCGTAGAACGGAATTCTAGGTCACCAGGTGCAAAAGATAGGTCACCAAGTTCCAGCTGCCTGTATATCTAACTACAGTACCTTACATCCTCCCCGAAGTGGATCCTAAACTCACGAAGAAATATCCCATCGCACGTCTTCAGCCTGTACTCATTTTCCAAGTCATCGAGCTTCTCACAACTGCTTTTATGGATGATGCCACAAATCAATACCAAGATTATCGATTGTAATTTCATCATCCTAATTAATTATGCTTCAGTGTTTGATTCATTCGATCTGAACTAGGGAATACATGGATTCATGGGTTCTTCATGGCACCTATTTTTCTGTGAGCCAAAAAAACCCAAAAAAAAACCACATACGTGTGGCCACATGGATAACAAGATCTAATAGATCCAATCCTCTTGATCTATTATTCCAGCAAAGGATTGATCACTGATGCATGCAAAGAGGATCATGAAATTGCAATCAATAATCTGGATATTGATTTTTTGTTTCATCTATCCAATCGCTCCAACAACGACGATTACAAGTTATTACAACTACCACTACAACAACTACAGTACCCCGCCCAACTGTACCACCTCCAACTACACAGACGCCCAAAATTCTGAAAACATCCACGAAAGCTTCAATTCCTCCAACTACCATCCCTGACCAAGCTACAAGTCTCGCTGATTACGTGGAAACGGATATTGAGGAACCGGACGATCCGAATGATTTCAAAGTGGAGGTGGAATTGGTGGATGGGCCGACAGGAATTGTGATTGATGGGGTGGATGAGGAAGGATGTGAACTTTTTTGGATTTTTTTTTTTGATTTTTTTTTGTTGATTTTTTTAGAGTTAGTTTTAGTTATTTTTGAATCCAGAATCAAAAATTTGATGTGATGGCCTAGAAAACTAGTTTTCTGAAATTCTAGGCCACCAACCCATTCTCGACTGTTTTTTAAAGGAGGCCAGACACGAAAGTCTACGGAGTTTTCTTGGAGCGAGATCATGTATTCGACGGAAAATCGTGCGATTGCGACCCAATGCGCGCTACTTGACGAGCATTTATTTTTTTTAGTTTACACTAGATTTCTTCAACGTAAGGCGATAATTCCAGACTTTTTGTCGATATTCTGTCATTCCATGATGTCGCCGCATGAAAACAGAAAAAAACGAAAAGGGACAGATGGGAATCGAACCCGCGATGCGCGACCGATAGACAATCGCGTTCACCTCCACAGGTAAAGGGGGACTGCCGAAAAACTGCTAAATGACAGCTGAAGAGGCGCAAACTGGCGAATGACTGCTAGTTGGCAGCCGAAGGAGAACCGACGGGCCGTCGACGGACAGTCGGTACCGATTGGAAAACATACTTGAAGGTTCTGATTGGAAATCATGCAGAAAACAATTTCTCATACTCCCACTAGATTATAAGAAATGATAGAATCTTATTTTCCTCAAATATGACCACCTCAAAAAATAGGTTGTTGAACGACTGCTCAATGACAGTCGAAGAGGCGCTGACTGGCCAACGACCGGTGGTTGGCGGTCCAAATTCATTCAGAATGGAAAATTTTGTTGAAAAAATAGTTCTCTCTAAAAACATCATAAAAGTCATAGAGGGGTCTGGGAAGCTAAAAAATGCGTTATTAGAAGCATTTCTATAAAAATTAGGATTTGAGGCGCGGTTGGTGAAAAACTGCTAAATGACAGTCGAATAGGCGCTGACTGGTTGATGGCGGCTGAATAAAAAAATATGTTTGAAAATTCCTTGGCATATATCTAGAAGCATGTGTTAACATTTTCGTGTTCCAAGATCTTTACTCGAGTTGTCATTGCATGATAATAATCAATCGTTCAGGACACATGTTCTCGGTCATATTTTTCAATTTGCTCAAGATTCCCGACGAAATTTGTTTTTAATTTTGTACAATTTGTGTCTGAAAGTGCTATTTTTCCGTTTTTCTTCTAAAATCGCAACAATTCGTTTTTTAATGTCGTTTTATAACTGCCGAGTTTCAAAATTTCGTTCATAGAGATTTGCAACGACACTCCGAAATCCCGCAACGACACTCCGAAATCCCGGCTGCGCCTTGTTTAGCGGCACAAGACTTTACTAATTTTTCGTCTTTTTTTCAGTTTCTTTCGCTTTTCGAAGTGTTCTCTTATTGAAATTCAGTATTTTTCGCTTAATTTATCTAACTACTGGCATAAAGAAGTACTGAAAAGCTTTGCGCACTTTCACTCTGCGCGTTTTTAGTTGAAAACGCAGAAAAAATCGGCGAAAACTCCTTGCGATGAAAGTTTCGAAAGTTTCGCTATTTTTTGCTTCGGAACGTTACAAATGCAGCCTTTCAGGAGTTTTTATATGGTGAGTTGGTAAGTTTTTATACGTTCCGAAGCAAAAACTATCGTAAACTCTGAAATTGTTCATGCGTTGTCGAAAATTCACCTCGCCGATACTTCATAGGTGTGACGTTTTGCAAGTGCAATGTTTGGAAAGTAACAACTTTGCAAGGTTCGCACAAAAATTAATACGGAAATCAGTTTTTGCTGTTTCTGACTCGTTTTTTAAATTTCACATGCGAAACGTTGCCCTTTTGAAGTCTGCTTTAAAAATGCCGCAGAGCCTAAAAATCTAAAGATTTTTTATTTGCCAGTTTTTAGTGTTGCGAACGCATCAATTTGACTTATTTTAAACGTACTTATAAGCGAAAAATACTGTTCAATGAGAGAATGTACATACCGAAAAACGAAAAAAAAGTTGAAAGGGAGAAACGAAGAAGAGAAAGAGGAAGAAAGGAAATAAAAAAGCTTCTGATTTTCCGAGTTGAGTTTCTATGAAGTTTGAATTTTGCGAAAACACAGAAAGAAAATCGGAAGTTCTGTCTCATTCAGAACTTGTGATTTCTTATGTGTTTTCTCTGGTTCTACTCATAAAAATTCACCTTTGAAAAAATCAGAGTTACTTTTTAAAAACAATACACAATCCACAGAAACTATAAGTTGAATAAAGAATTTCTATTGTTTATTACCTGTTTAATGATGAACTGTCAAGAAGGCGCTATCATTATAGACGGTCCGTCTTCGAGGCGCAAATCGTTACAGACGGACCGTCGGCGGCGCGCGATTCGACTGCCGACTGTTCGCTTTTCGGCAGTCCGCGCCCGCCAGACGGCCCGTTTTTCGGCAGTCCCCCTCTACCTGTGTCTACACCACGTGGTGCCTGCCGTCTATTGCCGCCAAAACGATTATGAAAGGAGGAGTGTGCCGCCGCTTGGAAGAACGTTCGCGTTCTCGCTTGTACGGCAAAACGAAGTTATGGTTGGATGGCCATACATATTTTCTGACTGTACTGTGTCATATATCAAAAAACTAGAACTTTGAAATTTTTCATGTCTGGCCTCCTTTAAAGATTTTTTTTGGTGATTTTCGGAAGTTAAAAATCTTCAAATTGAAGTTAACCAAATAGAACATTTAGATCTACTGACCTAGTTCGCCGCCGTGGCAAAGTCTCGACTATCCATGTGGCTACACGTATGCGGTTTTTTTAGCTCACATAAAAAATTGGCGCCACGAAACAAGCAAGAAGGCAATCGAAACTCCTTGATATTCCCTATTTGATCGAATGAATCAAACACTGAAGCAGAATTAATTAGGATGATTAAATTACAATCGATAACCTTGGTATTGATTTGTGGCATCATCCATAAAAGCAGTTGTGAGAAGCTTGATGTAAAGGAGAATAAAGAGAGATTGAAGACGTGCGGTGGGAGGTTTCTTCGTGAGTTTTGGGACAGGGGTACAGTAGTTAGATGTGCAGACTTCCGCCAGTATGATAGTGTAACTTCAAGTAGCTAAAAATGAATTGCTAGTCACAGTACCTTTTTGAGAGGATACTGTACTTTCTGAAGCTTCTTGGAGACCTAACTTTTGCATCAAATAGCCTA